TGATATATATATTGTTTCGATTCCAGAATTATTATCCATTATTCGAAAAGGAAGCAGATCCATGCATATCATGCTTTTTTAAATTACTTGAATTCTAAGGATTATATAAACTTCGAGTCTCTTTCAGCCTAAATTATATTGTTTCTTCTTGAAAATCGTCTTTGATACATTACGGTGTTTGTGCGCGCAGTGTCTCGATGCGACTCATCGCTCTCCGCGCGTTATTTCGACACGAGCAAACAAAATAATCGTCGCGGCCGATACGCACCAGGGCTTAACGCATATATTAATGCAGCGCGGATCTTAGGGCCCATTGTGCCAGATTGCAATGCCCGTCCGAGCGAGTCCTCGCGGCTTTTCGGTCGATGTTCGAAGTGATTACACGCGAATCAGATGAGGTGGTTTCGTCGCGGCGGGGAACCTGTCCGAAATGTCTAATGTCCCAAGAGGGACGAAAGAAATGGCGATCGCTCCGCATGCGTTCTAGGACGCCGTTTCTCCCTCTGTCTCTTTTCTTTTTTTTTCTTCTTTTCTGCGGCGCAGGATCGCACTCCAGGACGACTCGCTGAAATTTCTTTCCCGTCGCCCACTTCATCGTCCATCCTCGACGACGTTTTCTCACACACGGTGGACGGTTTTACGACATTAATTACGATCGACATTAATTAAACGGAGATAATGATATCGTCGCGATCGCGATTACACACGCAGCACGCCGGTATGAGAAATTAAGGACATGAAGAGAAGCGTGTCCGTGCAAAATGTCGATTCCGCCGCCGGCGCGCCGTTCTATTTTCCACCTTCGTCTCGGGGCGGAAGCTTTCAGCGGCGACTGCCACGGGCCGTGGAATCGCGGCGGAATCCCGCGATTCAATTAAACGCACGATTACTCGGCAAACGTAATTAATTTTAATTAACGATGCACGCCGAATCGTGGCCGCGGGAACGTGTAGCGGGCGCATCAGCGGGTCTCTCTGAACTTAGCACGATCTCATTGGCGGGATCACGCGATGTGCGTGATGGCATGGGAGGCGCGGTCGAGCTGGTTTCATGACGAGAGTGTCGACGGCCGCGCGGCACTCGGCGTGAGAATCAAAGCCACATTTAGAAACCGTGAATTTACTCGGGGATCGCGTTTTTAGTGCCGCTGCAGAATCGGCGGTGGATTTATAAATTGCATCGTCGCAAAGCACTGCTCGAAGCTCGCTGTTAAACGCTGTTAAACCTTTCGTTGAAAGATGCTAGATTATTAATCGAGGCGAGATATTAAGTACTTAAGTACAATACAATTGTACGACATTGGAACAACTTTTATTTGTAAAACAAAATCGTCAAGAAATATTAAATCAGTGAAATTTATTATGCAATATGTATTATCTGTGAATGAGAAATTAATAAAATTGTTTATGTAAATTTCTGAAGACACTAGAGTTCGTAAATCGTACATCAATTTTGAAATTATAGACAATTATTAAAGGTTCGTTTATACATATCCGTACCGTATCCGTACCGTGTCCGTACCGTACCGGCAAGATTCGATATGAGTATTTACACATATCCGGCTCGCATCCGTGAATATTTTGAAACATCAGTCTTGAGACATACATCTGAACTGTGAACATGGCAGAGCTATCGATAAACGAATTAGCGGTAATAGTATTAATTTTAAACGAAGAGAAATCTTTAAAAAAAAAAAAAAACGGATTTTATGGGTTCATAAAGCATGGACAAACGAAAAACAAAAGGTGAATTTTTTACATTTTACATATAAAGAATTGGTTGATGATGCAACTAAATTTTATCAATATTTTAGAATGTCAGAACATGCTTTTAATGTGTTACTCAATTTAATTGATAATAAAATACGAAAACAATATACAAGATGGAGAGAACCGGCTAGCGAAAACACGTTCCTACATATGTATAAATTTTTGAAGAGAATTGTGTATTTTTTCTTCAAATAAAATAATGTTTAATGAATATAAAAATTTATTTGTAAAATAATATTTATCATGAGTAAAATTACCTGGTTGGTCAAGTTCTTGAGAAATACTCTGCCACAGTTTTTCTTTATAAATTCCATCAAGATATTTTGGATGGGAAAGGTCGTATAATTCGATGTGTTGTTGCACTAATTCTATCAATTTTGTTGAAATAATTCTATCATAATCCATTTCTTTATTTTAAAAGAATGCTCTCAATATCGCAGATTGATACAAAATGAGACTCAAAAATCTGAATGCTACACTGAAGCCTATTTACATTTGTCAGTACCGACACGTTCAGTGCCGTCCGGTCCGTGAAAATATCGTCGCCAACGATATCTGCGGTGCCGGTACGGACACGGACGGCACGGATACGGAATAGTGTAAATACTTACATTTAATCATATGGAATCGAATCTAGCATCCGTGCACGGACGTGTACGATACGGACACGGTACGGATACGGTACGGATATGTATAAACGGACCTTTACTCGGGAATCGTACGACGTTTTTGCGCGTATGGGCGCGCGGAGTACTTTAAAATTCGATTTGAAAAATACTCATATCATATTCCGGACAACACGCATGTCTTAAAGACACCTGCAAGAGATGTAAAAAACGGTATTTTTTTCAAACCATTTTTAAACGTCTTTTAAATGTCTAAAGCCATCTGGAAAATAATGTCTTTAAGACACGTGTGTTATTTGGAATATTGTATATTATAAATTAGTATGAGTTTTTTTGGTTTTCATCAACATTCGGATGTTATACTTTTTCGTTATACTCCGAAAAGAAAGAAGTGAAAATGTATTAAGAAAAATTTGGAATGAGCACGTTCCCTGCTGCGTGGGTCTCATGCGGCCCACATCTTTAAACCGTTTCATGTTTTCCTTTCTTTGATTTAAAATGTACAACAAAAATTTGTAACACAAAAATTTTATTATATACATACTTTGTTCTGTTAACGCATTTTAAATGTTACACATAATTCTTAATAATAATAATTTTTGCAGTATTATAAATATTATAAGGCATATATTATAATCAAAACTATTAGTCTGTTAGTCACGTGAGGCATATGCACGTCACGTGAGTAACATGTGAGTCACATGGTAAGAATAAAAAATCACCAAAAATGCGGCAGAGAATATGCTGAACTCATTATTACAGCGATTATTGTTGTCGTGTGATTCTTTTCGAATTAAATTGAGAATCGAGTTTACCTAATTTTTGTGTTCATTATTGTAACGCAGAAGAAAGGAAATTCTTAAAGTTTTATTATTTTTTATATAATAGTTTATCGCATAATCGCAATCGATAAATAATCCATCTTTCCGATTCAACAAACACGCTCGAACGAAATCACCATTTTCTAAATCGTAAATCGCGAACCGCGTCGAATCCGCGCAGGAAATCGGTCGCAGGAAGCTTGCGGATCGTGCAGTATCGATATCACCAATTGTTCAGGTGAGCAAACCGAACGCCAACACGACGAACGTTATCGTCTCGTCGTTCGTGGGTGGTGGAGAAAGGTCCTCCAGAAGGCGGAGTCGGGCGCGTAGGTACCTCTACCGCGGTGCGATTACCTGGAAAGGTGGCCAATGCAGCGGCACCGATAAAGCCATAAAAGAGAGCGGCCGGGACTGTCGGCTAGCCGTACTTCAAAGGGGAGGCGGAGTCTTTCTGCGAAGGCTTTCCTTCCTTTCGTGCCTGCCTTTGAGTTTCTTCGTGTATCCGACGATCACGGGCGCAGGAACCGGCAGTTCGAGCCGAGACCCCGGAGCCAGCAGGTTCGTCCCGTTTCGCGTCACGCAGCAAAAATAAAAAAAAAGCCCGGCGAATCCCTTTCGTTCGACGAGTCCTCGCGGCAGAAGCCCGCCTAAAAGTGTCACCGTCGTTGCTATCGGACATTGTTCGTCATTGTCGGACGCACGCTTCGTCGCCGTAACGCGCGCGCGCGCGCGAGGAAGTGAGGATTCGGAGTTGTGAATCGCATGTGATCGGGACTCGACGAGTCGAGGGAAGTGAGGATCCTTGGTGTGGTGGTGCTGCTGGTGAACGAGAGAGAGAGAGAGAGAGAGAAGAAAGGAGTTCGTCCTGGAAACGGAAACGGCTAGATGGCAGTCAGCACTCTCAACATGACACCGTACTTCACTGGATATCCTTTTCAAGGTAAAAATTTTTATAATTATAAAATTAATAACACAGTTATTCGACAATAACTAGAATAACTATGCAATAATTTCCTTTACTATGTGAATACGTTGCTTTCTATATTATTGATTTAAAATCTTATTATTTATAACGTCCTGACTGTGTGAAAGATATTTACAAGATTGTTTGATCTTTAGAAAAAGTAGGAAACCAATCTTTCAACCAATCTTTCAACTCAATCTCAGTTTTTTCTTAAAAGAAACTTGGACTAGATTGATCTAATCTTCTCTTAAGATACTTTAGCATATATTTTCAAAAATTCTAAGCACAATTTTTCGAAAAAATAAAAAACATTTGGGTTTTAAAGACTTATACGATGCATCTTAAATATTTATAAAATATAAATAATTTATATTGATTTGGTCATAGAATAAATATGCCCGCATTTCTCAAAGTGTCGGTTTGGGATCATTATATTATTCAGTGTATAGATATTGTGCCGGGATAAAATAACTAACGCAATTTTTTATTAATTAAAAGCGATATTTTTTAAAATTGCTTCAAAATTTAAATATTAAAATAGTGTTTATAGTATTGTGACTTTTTCATTCCGTGAGATTAGCGATATGGAATTATCTCTTTACAAAAAGTAAATATCATTGTGTGTATTTATTAAATATGACATAATTAAACGCATTAAGTTTCATGGAACATAAATTTGTCAAAACCGTGCGTTATTTTTATTTATGAATGCAATTTGACAGCTTGCATTTATTTTCAATATATTCAAGCTTTTCAATGACTTGAATTCTTTTTTCACAAATTAACTTCATCAATATTTAACTGTGTGAAGGAAAAATGACGCCACTTTATCTTCTGTTATTCTCAGAAAACTCTTCCTCATTGAGGATCTCGCAATTAACGTCAGTGCAAATTTCATGAGCGTCGCTCAACGCCTGCCGGCGTCTCCGCAACGGTGCCGCAGATATTTTACAGCCGATGTTAATGGTTTTACGATGCGCTTTGACTGAATTATTTGCTGCCCGCCGGTGCACACTTCCAACTGTGCGACTCCCATCTTTATACTGCCGATCGCTCCGACCGATTAATTCATCCTGAAAGCTTATCGCGTCCGCGAAAACGTACGGCAATTGGATTCGCGTTATTACGTAACCTGGATGTAAAAACAGGATTCGTCTATGTTACGGCAATCTTTCGTAATGTAACTCACTGCGCATGTATTGTCGACTATAATGATTTAGAGACTTGGAAAGAGAGAGATTGTGCATAAATAATCGCACAGAAGCATGTACGTCGTTTGCATTGTGTAATTTATGAGTTATGGAATAGTGCGCGCGACGCTGACGTATAAATTTCGACGGGCAATTCGAACAAAGGCAACGAGTTAAAAGAATATGTTACCTTTATCCCTCGTGTACTTCATTAAAAATTGACATCGTAAATTTATAAAGAAAACAATAGAAAAATACGTCTTTCATTAATATAATTTACAATTAATATATCACGCGCTGTTCATCTTTATTTTCAGAATATTGCACAAATCTTGCCGTATAATTTGACCTACTTGCACCATTTTTCAAACCTTCATCAACAATCTTATACGCAACTTATATTCTACAACTAAATATTCAACTTTATATAATCCGCTTGTTCGTCCTGCATAATGCAAAAGCGAGGGAGTAATAACAATAATAACGTTCTCCAGATGGCGAACGGCCTATCCAGATCGCTTTCTCTCACGTGCGCCGTTAAATCCCAATTGTTTATCCACCGTTTTGCGAGCACGCGCGGGGCGAGGGCGGCCGCTTTCGAATAAAGCTCTCGATACACGGGCGTCGTAGTGGGCGTCGGAACGTGGAAGAGAGTCCCGAGGTGGTACGGTACCCGTGGGTACCTAATGTCTGATATCGGATGGGCCCCGGGCGACGGCACGTTGATTGAAGCCTTCGCCGCGACTCGGAGCTCACACCGCACCGCTAAGTACATGCATCCCTTTCGTACATGCGGTTACTCCCACTCGGGACTATAGCGCGCGTGTACCTTCCGCTCTCATCTTCCACCCATCGCGGACCGCCTGTGTAGTGACCGATCGCCGCATTCGTATCGCGGCGAGATTGCGTAATTGACGAAACGAACGTCGCAGGCGAACGCGCTGCGTGCCTGCGAAATTAACCCCCTCTGCACTCGGGAATTGTTCGGACCGTTCGGCGCGCCCGCTCGGGCAATTATTCACCGATGCGAATTCATCGATGCCGCCGCATCGATGTTTATAAAAATAATTGCGCGCCGATTTTCGTAACGATAAAATGTGGGATGAAAAACGCGCGCTAGCGCACTCGAAAAACACTCTCGTAATTGGACAATGATAAGCTACGTTTACAAGCCTTGAATAACAAATTCAGCGATCGTATCCTGTAATCTCGCGCACCGTGAGACGCTCCGCGTTGCTTTATCACGCGAAAATTGGAGCGATCGGATACCGCGATACGTCCTTAATGAGATTCAATTAATACCCAGATAACGTAATTATTGCCGTTTAACAGCGACAAGCGGCCGCGTTTGGGGGAGAGGAACGGATTATCATAAAGAAGAGTCCCGTGAAGAGAGCGTAATTGCACGGCTCGCGGATGTCGCGGTCGAAAAATACGGGCGCGCTGGCTCTTCGCACGTAATAATTTATCGCGGCCGATCGGCGCAAGAGGCTTAATTGACGCTTGTGTCGCGGGTAATGAACGTGCGGAGAGCGCGCCGCGCAATTATTCGGGAATTCTCTAAGTTCCTCCCGACGTATCTAAGAGCACCCTCGATCGCTGCCTCGCAGGTAAAAATTAACGATGCGCGACGCTTCGTCGGACGAATTCAAATCAGATCGGGGGGGACCTTCGTCCCCCCCCCCTCACCCCTCCCGTTGCCGCCCTCTCCTCTCTGTCACGTCGCGCGGATCATAGACATTAAGTCTAATCGCTGCCAATCAATCGGCCGTTATCAATAATTCATGTCAGAAATTGTTTCCTTGACCGTTTCGCCGACGCGTCTCGCCCGACGCGCGCGTGCAGGGTGGTCCTTCGGAGCCCCTCGCGAAAATGACCGCGGCAATGTGTGATCGCGCTATAATAAATTACGCGAGGACATAAATCACTCACCAGCTGCTTGGATTAAACTGTCCTCTTCAGATAGTCGTTTTATACAGTCGAATTTAATGTTACGGCGTCAAGAGGAGATAATCAAAAGCAGGAAATATTCTCTCCTTTATTATTTTTCAATGTTCAGTTTTTGCTACGCCTTGAATCCATCGTCGGGTTTCAATTCTGCCGTTTCAGAAACGACGAGGACTCGCCGTTGGTGACTTTCGTAAGTTTGTTACCAGGCGGAGGTGTAAAGGCACCTCGATCTCCGATCGAGGAGAAAAGGGACAGCTACATAGGCTTTTGCAATCGATACCGGGACTAATCGCGCGAAATACAGTGAGAAACTGCAGCGAGCGCACGTAGCGGCGGCGGCGTTTCGCAAGAACGCGTCGGACAATAATATTCATTCGGACGGATAGGGAACAAAAACGCGGGTAAAGGGCCCGCTCGCGCACAAAGTTGAATACACAGCTTGTGTATTCAACTTTCGATTCCGTGACTCGAGTTACGATCGCCGGACTTCGTAAGAGTGCGTAACTTTCTGAGTGCAACAGTCGGCGGCGGCATATGCATCTTGCACGTGCGACGAATGATAGCTCGGCATTCCTGGTACTCATCCCGCGCCGCCGTACAAATTCCTCCATAATTTTCCGCAATCTCAAACGGATATCTCGATGGGAAAATCGATCGATCGCTCTATTAGTTTTGTCTTGGCAATAGCTCTTGCCGAGATGATTGAGATGAGAAAAAATATTTTAACCTCCTTTCCTTCTTCTTTCAGACTTATTAAGATCTTTGATCTTCATTTTTAATAAGTGTTTTCTTAAAGATAATTAAGTGCCTAACAATAAATGAATGATTCTCTATAATATTTTATTGAATTCTCTAGGCTCCTGCTTTTGTTCTTTCCAACGATGGGATATTGAGGAGTCAGTTTTACACAAAATTGTAAGTTTTTATCCATTTTTATACCTTTGTGTTTTTTCGACTTTTCTCAATTGTTAAACCCATTTAGCATTTTGCTACGCATCGACTGTTAGTTTCCAGTCAGTTTCATCCAATTTATAAAGTCAGTCGGAAATCCGCAGTGCTCGTGTCTTGCACCGAGAGTTCGTCGTCGCCGTCGTCGTCGGCAGCAGCGGCGGCGGCGGCGACGGCGGCGGCGGCGGCGGCGGCGGCGGTCGGCACCTTTTGATCTTGCCTGTAATCCCGTCGGGCCCCGCGGCCTGACTGACGTCATACACCGGAGAGGTGTCCGGCGAGACCGTAACCCAGCCTATACACGCCGGCACGGCGCGGCCTATGCGGGAGTGTGTGCGTTGCACGCACTCGCGGATATGTCCTTACCGAGCGCGAGGGGTCCCAACGCGAGCGGGGGTGTCGGGGAGCGCGGGGTCGACAGCGGAGGGGGATGTAAATCTCCGGTGCTTGTGATGAACGACGAAACGGGACTACTTTTGTGCGGGAGAGTGCTGGATGCGCCCGGGAAGGGGGTCGTCTTTTGAATTACACCGTGGTAATTAGCGGACTCTTAGGCACCGCGCTCTCGCAGCAGGTAGCCGGCGAGAATATATCACGAACTGGCGCTCTGTACTCGCGTAGCGCGCGCCGGCACCGATGCGAGCGCGAAAATGTTTGGGTGCCGAGGATTCGCGATGCCTTGCAAGCCGGTCGAGATAAGCATAATTCCTTTTCGTTATCTTTTTTTTTATAATTTTATGCTGTTGATGAGTTTTTTAAAGAGTAATTACAAGAACGAAGCTTCAATAATTATTAACTCTTAGAAAAGAGATACATGCTTCATAAAACTCGAAGATTTTTCAGGGAAATAAAGTTGACGGAAATTAAATCTTCTTTAATGCATTATCAAAATTTGTCATGACTTCTCGTTATTACATTATTTGCATTTATTATATATAAAGTTCGCAAAAAGAAATATCAACAGCTCATAATTATCGAGTAAAAAAATCTAAATTAATGTGACCGTATTAAAAAATATCCACGCATTGTCGAAGAATCAATTACAACATCTCTGTTCAACTTGTCGTCGAATTGTAAAATTTTTAACGAAAATCCTACTATTTGGCGAAGGAATGCGTAGAATTTCTGCAAATTCTTCCGCAGAATGATTCAGCGGTCGCATGCAGCACGCATAAGTACACGTGCGCGCTTCTCTTTTCACATCGCGTCTCTTATGCAAAACTTCCTTTATGTAAATACTCGCAAACGAAGAATACAGCCGGTTGTGTC